ATAACAAGAAAGCTGTGGGAGAAAATTATGAGGACATTTAGGAGAGATGGGAAAGAGGTTCAAAAGGTGCTTTCTGCTAAACCACACCTTTAATCCAATATCTACGCTGTATGTTTTTCATAAAAGTATGCTCCTATCATCTGAATAATTGGGAATCAACAAAACTTTTTAAAATATTTAAGTGATTCAAACAGACCTAATTGTTTTCTGAACCTTTTGTTCAGAGATTACTTCTCTCTTTTTAAGCATGCTTTACCCTGAGCTACATACCCAGTACCAGCCTTTGTTCTGTGACAGATTATTATTTCCCCTATTTTCTCATTCTGGATCAATGAAGAAAAATCATTTTCTGAGCCTTTCCATCATGGATATCCACCTGATGAGTTCCAAAATGCCATCCGTTCCCTCTGGAGGTGAGGAAAAATAAACAGCTTAGAAAATACAGGTGAACCTCCAAATTATTCTTGAGGATGTGATTTTTAAATTTTTTTTTAAACTAGAGTAGATTTACCTTATTTTTCTCTTATTAAAATAAATTTGAGGGCTGGGGTTTTAGCTCAGTGGTAGAGCATTTGCCTAGCTGGAATGCATGAGGTCCTGTGTTCAATTCCCCACACATACACAAATAATTTGATATAAAATGATAATGTGGGAAAAAAAGAGAGGTTGGAGACTAATTATATGAAAGTCATGGCGAAATAAACAGAGTGAAAAGCCCTTCTGGTAAGTGTTTAAGAAAAAGACCTTATACAACACACTAATCCACTCTAATATTAGAATTTTTCTCTGTTTTCAACCAAAAGACACATCATACACCCAGTCCAAAAAAATACAAACAGTGCTGCATGAATCAGGACAGTGTCTGTCTTTGTCTCCCTCTCCTTTTCTTCCTCTGTATCACAGTGGCCATTAAGATACTAGCCACAGTAACAATCTTAAAACTGGAAATATCTTACTTGGCCTACCAGAGAACTGTAATTTCCACTCAACACCAAGTTTGCTGTTCTTCACCTGAGTCAGACTTTGAATCTATTTTGAGGTTGAAAAACAAACAAACAAAAAAACCTGACTTTAAAAATGTCTAAAGATTAAAAACAAAAATGAGAGAATGAAAATGTTAAAAGGAGGAAAGAGGGAGTCAGATATGGGGAGGAAAAGTATAATTGATAATGAAGCTGGCTGTCTGGGTGTCACAAGCGATAACAGTAAAGGGAAATGTGGCCAGGCTGTCAAGAAGTACTGATCTCTTAGGCATAATATCATTCATCAACCAGAGACTTCAAAATTGATGGGTGTGGTACCCACTAAATGGAACTCTTCATTTTCTCCCCTCAGTTTTCTTGAAGCTTAATCAGCTTCCAAACCTCCCTGACTACTCATCTGAAATTTTACCTTCAGGGCTTATAGTTAGTTTTGTTCCTCCCACTCTTTACCAGTGTGAATTTCTTGCAACTTCCTCCTAACCAGAACTGTACAGCAGTTGTGTTTCCCTTTGGGGGACCAACCAGGACTCCTGGCCTGACACCTCTATCCTGGAACACAACTCCAAGCTCTGTGAACAACTTAAAACATCCCTCTCTAGCAAAAAAGAACACCTTATTAAAAAGTCTATACCTACTTCTTGCCTCAGGAAAAAATGTTTTGCCCTCATACTTGCTTAAGTAGCTTTCTATGGCAAATATGGAAAATGATTATCATTGAATTATATTCAACCCACTTATATTATGACAAATACTAGCTCAAATGCAGACTGACCCTTACAAATTTTTTTCTTTTTAAATTTTTATACAGGGTCTAAGATGCTGATGCTGGCCTTGAACTTGTGATCCTCCTGCCTCAGTCACCTGAGTCCTGGGATTACAGGCATGTGCTATTTACACCTGGCTGACCCCTAAAAATTGTACATATTTTCCTCAACATCTTTTTTTTTTTTTTAAGCACTAGGGATTGAACCCACAGGTGCTGGAATGCACTGAGCCACATCTCCAGCCCTTTTTTGTATTATTAAAAGACAGGATCTCACTGAGTTGCTTAAGGCCTCACTAAATTGCTGAGACTGGCTTTGAACTCACGAATGTCCTGCTTCAGCCTCCCAAGCAGCTGGGATTTCAGGCGTGGGGATTACAGACATGCGCCACTATGCCCAGCTCCTCAATGTCTTGTCTTTTCTCATCTCTTTCCCTTCCCCTCTCCCCTGCGCCTGTTTTGCAGTGCTGGGGACTGAACCCAGGGTCTTATGTGTGCCGGGTAAGCACTCTACCAGTAAGCTATGTAGCCAGCCCAACCTTTCTTTTCTTAAAGCAAAGGAAAATAAATTTATGACAACACATACTACAAGATTCTCCAGCCTTGTACATGCTTCCTTCTGCTCTTTGAGCCTAATAAAATATTAATAGTTAACTTGTAGTCTTCTCCTTTCATTACCAAGGGGTTTTAACAAATACCCAAGTAATAGAGATGAGACCACAACAAACAAGAACCCCATACAACAGGACCTACCACTAATAAGCATACGAACAAGAATCCTAATATCCTAATTTATGCTGTACTGAAAATATTGTTCCTTACACTAAAAAAAGTAAAGCATTCTGACCTTAAATTAGAAGTGGAAAAGGCCAGCCCTGTGGTCCATGCTGGTAATCTCAGCTACTCAGAAGGCTGAGGCAGGAGGATGGAAAGTTTGAGACCAGTCTTGGCAACTCAGTGAGACCCTGTCTCAAAAAATGGCCTGGGATATAACTCAGTGGTAGAGTGCCCTGGATTTATTTCCAATTACCATCAAAAAATAAAAACGGAAAAGAAGTTAGATGATATATATTTTTTTGTTATTCCTGGTCAATTGCTTTATATTCCATTCTGGTGTCATTAATAATAATATAATTAATAATAATAATGTGCTTTATAATACGTACATATTGTTTTATTTTAGTCAGGATACCTGAAGGATTAAGGATTCTTCTTTGTTTCTCCAGGGGCCAATTAATGTTAATTATTCAATAAATCTTGCTAAATTATAAACAGAACTATAGCCTACCCAAACTCAGTGCTGAATATCAAACAGAAAAGATACTACTTGGTGGATACCATTCTTTAACCTTCACTGAGACAAAAGTGAATCAATGTCGCTTAGTAGCTCTATAGCTATAAGATAATACTGCTGAATACCTAACAGTATTATAAGAATAGATCAAGTTTCCCTATTCCTTAATAAGAAATGCTGCCAGGCTGCTCAGAAATTCCCCTTCTGAGTCCCAAAGCTGTTCCAGGAACATGAGAAACCAAGTATGCTGCAATCATGGCCTTTCTGGTACTGTGTCCAAAATAAACTATCTGAGCAAAGACTGTGAATGAAATATTATCCAATGGGGGTATGGGGGGGGCAGACAGTCAATGAAGTTCAAAAATTTCATTTAAAAATATAGTTACAATGGAATATGATCAAGTACAATGACAGTTTCCAATCTGTTTAATAAAACACCAAGTAGAAAGCCTCTAGTCACATAATTACACAACATAATTACACAGCACACTTAGATCAGGGTTAATGATGTGCATGGAAAGAACAGGCCTAAGGGTGGGTTCACCAGCAATAGACCTAGGTATTGTGAGTAAAGGATAAGAAATAAGATCAGAATTCTTTACTTTAGAATCTGCAGGGGTAAAGGGGACATATATAGATAATACTACTAACAAAAACTTCTACCCAGGGCTGGGGTTGTGGCTCAGAAGCAGAGTGCTAACCTAGTATTCGTGAGGCACTGGGTTCGATCTTCAGCACCACATAAAAATAAAATGAAGATATTGTGTCCACCTATAACTAAAAAATAAATATTAAAAAAACCCTCCTACCTGCAAAGTTCTATTCCAAGCACTGTATTAAATAATTTCATTCTCATCAACAACCCGATATTGATATCATCAATTTCCACTTTTAGTATGTAGAACAAAAATACAGCTGGGCATGGTGGCACACATTTGTAATCCCAGCCACTAAGGAGGCTGAGGCAGGAAGATTGGGAGTTCGAGGCCACCTCAGCAATTTAGCAAGGCCCTAAGCAACTTAGTGAGACTCTGTATAAAAATTTAAAACTTGTTTAAAAGAGGTCTGGGGATGTGACTCAGTGGTTAAGCACCCCTGGATTTAATCCCCGGTACCAAAAAGAAAGAAACAAAAAGGAGGCTAAGCAATTTGTGCAAAGGTTTACACAGTCATGAACAGAAGCAAACTGGCCAAGCTACAGATGCCACAGAAATCAAGGTAAACATAACTTCCCCTGGTTTCACCAACATTCACTAAGATTATGACCGGCCGAATTTATAGAAACCCATCTCCTCCTTCCATATGTGTGCTTTTGCTTTCCACTTCTAACAGATATCACATTCTTTCACCCACAATACTCCTCCGAAAACAATGTATAATAAGAGAATTTCATCTTACAAAGAGTCCTAGAACCAAGCTACACACAAACACGAACGGCCTGCACAGGCCTTTCTCGGGGGAGGCGTTCCAGGGGTGCCAGCTGGACTCGTTAAAAGAGTTTTTGCTGCAGCGGAAGCCCCAGACAGCTGACCGGGCCCCAGTGCCCCGCGAACCAGGCAGCGGCAGCGGCGGCGGGAGACCTTCCCCTGAGCACATCGGACTCTCCGGCGCGTTACAGCGGGTCAGCGCACCCTCCACCATGGGTCACCGTGCGCAGTCAGGTCCAGCCCAGGTTTGGGCCATTTGTCCTAGGTCACGGCGCGGAAGGGTCGAGGGCCCCAAGCCCTCCGCTTCCCACCCCGCCCGCCCCCTTCTCGGTCTTCCTTCGAATAAAGCGGTTCCATCCGCTCCTCGGTCACTGCGCCGAGCGCCTCAGGCCCTCCCTCCCGCACCTCCCTTCGCGGTCCCGCACAAAGGCCCCTGGGCCTTCCCCAGCTGGCCCTCGAGGCGTCACACCCCCCTCCCCGCCTGCGGATAGCCGGGCGCCGTGACCCCTGACCTTGCCTACCCCTAGCCTTACCCGTTCTTCCACCACCTGACACGCCGCCCCAGCACCGGCGGCTCCATATCCCGGGAGCCACCGCCAAGAAGGCCAACCCCCTGCCCTCCTGCGATTGGCCGATAGGACTGCAGCTGCATATTCCCATTGGCCGGATTTCGGGGGCTGCCAGTGCGCGTGGCAAGAGGAGCAAGAACAGAGGCTCCGCCCACACCAAGCCGGGGCTGGGGGCGTGGCGGGAGAGGCTGGGTCAGGGGCGGAACCGGGGTGGGACGGGCTTGAAGCTGCCTGGTAGAAGCTGAGTTCTGCGGAGCCACTGCTGACAGCTACCCAGATTCACGCCGAGGGGTGAACTTGTGATCTCTCAGCCCGAGGGAAGCCTGAGGTCAGATAAAATTCCTGCCCTCTCGGGGCGCGGGGGTGCATGCCTATAATCCCAGAGACTCTAGAAGCTGAAGCAGGAGGATCTCCAGTTTTCGACAACTTGGCGAGACCCTGTCTCATAATAAAAATGGGCTGGGAAGGTAGCTCAGTGGTAGAGCGCTTGCCTAGCAAGCCGGTAGTCCTGGCATCAATCCCCAGTACCACAAAAACAAAAACAAAAAAATTCCTGTCCGATTTCCCCCACCGTCTCACATTAGGTACTGACAAGCCCCTTTCTTCCAGAGACCTGACTCTACCGGGTCTATAACAAGGTATAGCCCACCGGCAGGACCATTTCCAGAACCGTATCCTTTTATCAACTGCTCCACCAAGAAGAGCACCGCACACCTGGGAGGAACCATGAAACTCGGCCAGTGCAGCCAGTTCCACTACTCTACGTGTCCTACTCCCAAGCCTCAACGTGGTTTTCCTGCATTCCATATATCTCTGCCTCGCTTCACCCCACACTTTATCCTTACCTACTCCAAAGTAATCCCACTCTATCCCCAGCCTCTCAACCTCACAGCCCAGCGTCTTTCACTGAAGATGATTGCCCCAGCTGGTGAAAAGGAGAGAATAAATGGCCTGGCCGGACAGATCATCCTGATTTTCTACAATGTCTTCAGAGCTAGCAAAAACATCCTTAAACTGCCCTACCGTTTACAGCATCAAAGATAACCAAGCTTCTTTCTTCATGTAAAAACTGCTAGAAGAAAACTTAAATTATTGGTCAAAGAGTTCAACATATGAGGAAAGGGATGTGAACTGCAAAAAGAAAAACTCAAAAGTGCAAAATGGAAAACCTCAGGAACAAAGAAAAAAAAAAATAGTGTGCCAAACATCATGTACTTCCGGGCACAGGCTGGTATCCATACAGAATTTCTCCTGGAGAAAAGAGAAAATACACAAATTAGTTCAGAGAATCTCTCCACAGCGAATCTGTGGAGTTTGAGAAATGCCTGATAGACTCCCTCCGGATCAGAATCTCTCCTTTGGGAACCTCTGCTGCATCTAGAATATTAAAGGACTGGAGCTTTTCTTGTCACCCTTCCCTGGCTGCTCAGCTGGGCAGCTTCCCTGGGCTGCTGCAGACTTGCTGGCTACTTACTCAGCTCACAGGCTGGAGCTGCCTCCTTAGGCTGCTGCTTCCCCATGGTGCAGAACTGGTTTGGCTTTTCCCAGAGCGGCCCTGCTTCTATATATGCACACAAGTGCGCCTCCCGCCTCCCTTCGATACTAAGGACACTTGAGGCTGCTCTAGGCAATGCAGCATTGGTAAAGACTGGCAGGGAATTTCAAGAGACAAACCACACCCTACAAAGAATAATCTAATTTCATCTTTGACCTGCCATGAAAAGAGAAGCATTGTATATCTGCCACTCCTAGATATTAACTAACAATTAATTGAGTTAAAAACTTTCCTTCTAAGAGTTAGTTTCTGTGCCATTGGGCTGGACCAAGTGCTGGAGGCAGGCCTATGGGTGCAAGTATATGAAAGGGGTAGGGAGAGCGGAAACACTTTCCTTCAGGATGCGGCTCTCCTTGAAGTGAAGCTGGTCAAGGTACTTGTACCATGGCTGCTTGTGCACTAGTACTGTGTTCCTCTGGCCAATTAACCCAAAAGCCTGAGAGTCCACATGTATTTCCAACATAGTACGTGCAGTACTAATGCAATTATGAATAGTCTCAAAGTATAGATGAAAAGGCCACCGGTCTGTCCTTTGAGATTTGAAGAAGCTGATGGCATCAGCCTGCTAAATCAATGATCTAGGGGCAGAAAACAAAGAGAGGCAAACCTAGGAGTAGGTAGGAAAAGAAAAAGAAAGGGAAAACACTGAGACTACAAAAAAGAAATCCAGGTTAACAAAAGAATTTCTCAATCTGGGTGGAGGGGCTCAGAAAGAATGGGGAAAACATGCCTCAGGGAAATTACTTAGAGGACAATGCAGGAAGTGAGAAGTATTAAAGTGAGGTGAATTGCTGCTTATAAGTTCCAGGAGTGTTCTAATAGTTTTAAAGAAAATCTGCTTAATACAAAAAACAATAATAATAATAATAATAATAATAATAATAATGCCTTAGAATGAAAAAGAAATTAAAGCAGTAATCAATTCAAATTAGTCAAGGTAGGTTTCCAGCAAGTTGTTCTGCTTCCTATCATGTCAGTAGAAGGAACTATGGATCTTTTGCTCAGGACTCCAGATGACAGTCTCTTTGCCTGGGGGCTTCCTCAAGCACTGAAATTTTATCATTACAACTTGATCCCTCTCCTGTTCTTGTTCCTTATCAGACAAGTTCCCTAAGGCAAGGGGCCCCTGAAGATTGGACTAGGGACAATTTGCCCCTCTTCAGTTTATAAATTGTAAAAGTAGGAATGGGACTGGAGATGTACTTTGGTGATATAGTGCTTGTCTAGCATATGCAAAGTGCTGGGTTCAATTCCTAACACCACACACACATAAAAAATAATAATAATTTCAAAAATAAGAATGGATTTTACAATGAGACTCTATCATAGCCCCACGGTTGTAATATATACTCTACTCTTGCTCTGTTCGTTTCATCCCCCATACTCAGTTACTGACAGTATTAACTGACTTCTTTTTATATATAAACACTGTATTTAACACTTCAGAAATAGTCATAATCCTCACAATAAACTCATGAGAAAGGAACTATTATATTCATTTTGCAAATGAAACAGAGGCATGGGGGGGTTATGTAATTAATTTTCCTAAAGACACATAACTTGTAGCCCAAACAAAGCCAGCAAATCTAGCAGCTAGCACTCCACTAACACATGGGCCCACCTCCATCTTGTGCAGTTAAAACAATTCCCTTTCATGCAAATCTAGCTCTTTAGTAAAAATCATATTAATGTAAATGTAAATTCACTAAATATGCCACATGACACCTATAGCAACTCATATCTGCACAGCTGTTAATAGGTATGAGTATCAGGTATTAACGTGTATCTTCATCATAGGTATCTTGTATTTAAATAAGAGGCTATTCCTTCCATCCTCTCTTCCCATCCACTCTCCAAGTATTCTCTTTCAGGTATTGTTTTCTCTCAAACAACTGCCATAAATTAACTCCTCCCACTCTTCTCCTGGAAAACTCCCAAACATTCTATAAGATTCCCTTAAAGTACCCACCAGAGTCATCATTCCCTTACTCCTCCAGGCAACATTAATTCATCCTACATTCTGTCTGCTGCCCAAGCACAAACCCATTCTGTATATATTTACTGAGAACCTACTGTGTATCCAGCACAGGCTAGGGGCTGCAGATACAAACACAAATAAGATAAGCACAGATCTATTGTTTTTTATGCTTTCTTTTACCACTTAATAGTGAATTTCTCATTAGAGGAGAATATCTTTTTATTTGTATACTTGGTGTTACCAATCCAGGTATCTGGTGGTGCCCCCCAAAATGTATTATCTCATTTTTTTTTTGCATGTTAGGACTGTAAGGCAATAAAGTGTGATAATTAGGACATTTCTATCTAGGTACTTTTTCCCAAAGTTGTATCTTATCTTTGCCAAAAATATTCCTCTCCGACTCTGGGGAAGTTAAGCAATTCCTGAGATAAACAATGGAATGCACTGCCCAGGTCCCCTCTGAGGATGCAGGACCTGTTTACCCCAGCTGTTTGGAGTAGGAGTGCTGCTGGCCCATGGCCCTGGGCTCCATTCCCAGGCAGCCCTCATCCAGTGACTGATGTATGTGGGAGGGTAAGATTCATCCCTCAAACATCCCTCAACCTTCAGAGATCCCTCTGAAGGTTGGCTGAGCCTTTGTTGTGCATCATGGCTCAACTTCCCCTGCCTAGTCTTGCTTCCTTCCCTACACTCAGTGTTGATCCCAAGATCACTTCCCAAAAAACTTCCTGCCTGTCTCAGCATTAGCTTCCCTTCTTACTTGAGATAACCTGAAATCAAAGTTGCTAGAAAGTGATCTGCACTCACTCTATCTCCTCACCACCCATTTACTTCTCTACTTTTTGTGGTGCATTCTGGAAATTACTTTCTCATTGACTAAACTGTGATCATCTCTAACTATGGACAGTGAGAGCCAACTCTTCCCCTGTCTCCATATTTGAAATGCTGAAGGACTCCTCTTACAACTCTCTGGCTTCCCTTTTACTGTGCTGGGTAGTTCTCCTCTTTGAATTGTTCCTCTTTGGCCTTCATTTGCTATTTTTCTTCCTCCTCCTCCTTAAATGTAGGCATTCCTTAGCTTCAACCCTTAGCTCTCTTCTAATTCTTCACAATCTCTCTGCAGTTTAGTGTAATAACACTGGGGAGCCATCCAGTATTAGAGGCAGGATGGATGAGTGGCAAGAACAACTTCTTAATGTAAAATTGACCTGAATTACAGGTCAAGCCAGCTGGGAAAGTGGGCAAGCTATTCAATCCTTGTGTTTCATTTCTTCATCTAGAGTGAGCATGATAACAGAATCATGAGGATGTTATTAGGTCCCCAAAAGCAACAATGTCCTTTCTTGCCTCCTATCTTGGGCTTACCACTCTACCGTTAAACTGTATCCCCAGTCCTTCTAAAATTCTGTTTTGAGTCAAGGTCCCATTAAATTGCTGAGGGTCTTGCTAAATTGCAAAGCTGGCCTCAGACTTGCAATCTTCCTGCCTCAG